GGATTAATCTTGCTATCATTGTGAAGGCTGGGATTTAAAAGCGGGGTCTGACACTGACAGGGGCAGCTGACTCCAGGGGACAGACCACTGAAGAAGTATGAAAGAGAGTGAAGTAAAGCTCCTCATGATGTCTTTGTTCTCAGCTCCAGGTCCCTTTTACCTCTTTTTGAATGCTGGAGGATTAAGAAGACCATGGGATCCTTTCACTGAATGTAAACTGAAGGGCAAATTATGTTAGTTTATCCTGAAAGGGCAGCCATATTCATTCACTGCTCAGATTTTGGCAAAACATTTTGGCACGGAGACCGTGACCTGCTGACATGCATGCATCAGGAAAAAAACTGCCCTATTTAGGTACTATTGCAGTATTTTTGTCAAAAAAATAATAAAACTCACCAGTTAAGAAGACCCACATTTGTTGGCCAGCAAAGAGATTTCCATGAGACTGTAACATTTGCATTACACCATTTTAATATGCTTTCAGTGTGTTTTTGATGAAAAACATAGATGAGATCCCAGATGATCTAACACAGAAGGAAGAATGCTTGTCCTGCTGAAATCTGCATACACACAAACTGTACACTTAATTCCTCTGGATTCTGTGGGGATTGAATATGCTTAACTTCTAGATTGGAGCATCTGTCAGTGCTTAGGGAAGGCATTTCTAAAGCTATGTTGCTAATTAAAGCTCGCTCGCTCTCACCCCCACCTTCTTTCTTTCTTCACTCATAACTCCTCAGTTGGCTTTAAGAAGAAAACAAAGGAGGCCCCTTCTGCACATCAGGGAGGTAAGTGCCTCAGCTACATGGCCCAAATCTACCTATGTGATTTTAGTCTGGAGGCCCATAAACCAGAGTTTGAGCGGTCACCTGGCAAGATGCTCTTATTGTACTCCAAGACTTGTAACTCCCATTTTCACTGCATGCCAATTTTTGAAATCTCTTACAGATTTGAAGAAAGAGATTCAGGACTTCAGGAAAGCACTAAAGAAACGGTAAGTGATTAGAATGGGTCAATAGAAAAGACATTTTCCTTCTGTGCTGACAATAAACAAAACACACAAAAGCAACTCTTTCAATGGCAATTGTCTGTCTAGTTCTGTTACTCACTTTTATCCTGCTTTTCCTCCAAGGAACTCAGGGCAGAATATATTATTCTTCCCCTTTATTTTCATTGTACAGAATAAAGTTCCAAGAGAATTTAGTTGCCAGCTACTCAATAACAATAAGCTGATTTCTTGTACTTCCAGTAGCCCAGAATCAGCCTTCAGTGAAGTTTGTTACCAATATATGATTCTTTATGCTATTTTGCTTTGCAGCTACGTATAATCACTCTCCCTCCATAATGTAAACTCTTGTACTTAATGAGGGCCTGTACACAGAAGGGAATAATGTGATTGTTTAGATTTCCCAAATGGTGTCTATAATATTGTATATACAGATGGATTTAAAATATCTCTTTTTGATGTTTAGTCACCATTTAATTAATCCGAACAGCAGAAAAGCCCAATCTCCTTTCTAGGTAAGAAGTTCTGGTGCTGAGTTACATTCAATTGATGGAAATTTTCAGTTATAATACTTTTGCTTCTAGAAAAAATATAATTCTGCCAGGTGCAACTCTGACTCAGTTTGATATGCAGCACATTTTTCAATGGTGAATACTCTGGGTGTCATATTTTGGTGGTGTCATATTTTAAAATAATTAGGTAGTTTAATTTTTTTTTAAAAAGTGACTGGATTTAAATCCAATTCCACAAAAGGACTGGAATTAGGAAAAAAATGTCTCTTGCCATTCCCATGCAATCTGGGCTTCTCTTCTTATGGCTGCCCCCACAGAGCACCTTCAGCTCTTCCTAAGAAGGAAATTGACATGGAACAAGTCTGGCAATTGCTGCTTAATTCAGATAAGAAAGATTATGAGAAAATCTGCTTGAAGTATGGCATTGTAGACTTCCGTGGGATGCTGAGAAGGCTTCAGGAGATGAAGAAGGAGAGAGAAGACAAGCAAGCTCAGGTAAGGCCATCTCTGCAGGACCAGTGCCCAGGTAAACCAATCCAAATCATTGTTCCATGTCTGTGTCAAAACTGTGAACAGGCATGGAGTGAACATTTGCACGGGGCTCTAGAGATCTCTATTTGAAAAGCATATCAGTGCCATGGAAGGAAAGTAAGCTGGTTAAACATGTCCGAAGACCATCCAAACTAGTAATCCTGCTTGTTGCTTCTGCTGTAAAGATGTGTTGGTGCTTAAAACTGGCCCCAGTCCATGTAGCAGTACTTCTCTCACTGAGAGGCCCTTAATATCTTGGATCTTCTCCTTGTTCTTTACAGTATATCTCCAGTATCACAAACCTGAGGCATGTCAGAGTCAATGAGGAGAAAGGAAATGCTTCATTTGATCTAGAGATGGAACTGAAAAGTCCAGAAAGCAGAATTTACCTGTACAAGGTAAAAAAAAAAGAGGATAAAGTGAATTGGGAAATGGATAGCGCTCATTGGTAGAGAACTTGCATGCACAAGGTCCCAGGTTCAGTCCCTGGCATCACTAGTTGAAGGATATCATGCAGCAGATGTTGGGAAAGACCTTTCTCTGCTTGGAATCCTGGACAACTGCTGTCAGTCAGAGTAAACAGTATTAAGCTATATGGACCTACAGATTACCTTGGTATAAGGCAGCTTCATACATTCATGTGAAGTCGTGATACATAACCAGGTTATGTGGCTGTATTTTGCAATCTTGCTTGCCAGGTAAGATCTTCATCTGAAGTACTGCTCTATGTACCTCCACCCACAGAACTGAGGTAGGTGGTAGTCAGTGGTGGTACCCTGTCTGCGGAATGCTGTCCCTCTAAGAAATTCCTGTATTCCAATTCCCTCCCCCACTTTCTGTTTGTTTTTCTTCTTTCCCCATGGCTTCAAATTTTCCAAAAACAGTACGTCTTGAAGACATGCTGACTGGTAAGAGGTAAAAGTCTGGGGTTTTATTTTATACGGATAGGGAAAAAATAATTGAAGCAGACCAAAGACAGCTGCTCTGAATCTAGCAAGTAAATATTTTTGCTTTTCACAGCAACAAGCAGGTACTGTAGTACCTTAAAGGCCCATGCAGTAGATCTCTTAGACTCAACCCTCTTATTGGTAATTGAGGGCAGAGTTTAGTAACAGTACAATCAAACTTTCCAGAACCGGTGCTAAAAGACTGTAGATATCTTCGGCGAAACACCACAGATGCAAATGTTTACATGGATAATTTTGGGTCCTCTGTTGCTCTAAATTGCTTGACTTTACATGATCCGTTCACCTTCCAGTAAACTTCTTCCCTCCTCCTTCAGGATGGCCAGATGATCCATTTTGGATTTGATAGTGACAATGTGAAGCACTGCCTGAGGAAGGTTGGTAAAAAGTACAATTTCATCATCAATAATCTGCAGCCAGAAGATGCTGGTGTATACCAGATCAAAGTAGAGGATGCTGCTGTCTTCTCAACTGAGCTGGAACCAGAAAGTAAGGGCTCAGGCCTAATGGCCAGGGGACTATGCATCATATCCTAAAATCCCAACCATCAGTTTAAAAACTTTAACTATGAAAAACCAATATTAAGATCAAGATATTAAAGTAGCTCCTCACATTGTATTAGGGAATGAACAAACATTCTCACTTTCGTTTGTTTTTCCATCCATTTACATTTAGTGGTTTTGGTTCTCTGTTTCTTGCTGTTGGCTTAGTAGATTTTATTGTGTATGCATGTTATGTGCTGTTTTATATGCAGATTTATACTATATTTACATGTACAGTGTCTGTAATTTATATATATGTGTGTGTGTATGTATATATAGGTTGAATATATAATTATTGTTTATTGATGTACAGATAACTTGGGAAATGTGCACATTTTATAGGGTTTTTTATAGAATAAAATGCAGATTTTACAGAATAACATTGAGTTCAAAGAAGCAGGAAATGTCGAAAAGAAAGAATTATTATTTCAATTTGCACAGGGGGGAAGCAAAATTGGGTATGGGGGTTGAAACTACAAAGATAGGAAATTTGAAATCATCCTTAAGTGTCATATAAAGTTGTATGTATATGACATATAGTATATGTACAGCTAAATCATGTGCAGGCAGTGAATACATACTTTCAATTGCATATAGTACATGTATCAACGACATGAAGCTGTCATACATACATACAGTAATTCTGAAAAGCAGATAGTGGCCATGCCACAGAAAGGAGCAAAGCTTTTTCTCCATGTTTTCCTCCGAAAATTCAGAGCTGACCCGATAATTCAGAGTTACAATCTGTTGTGTGTTTATTTACCTTCAATTTTTGTATTGCAGCCATCCCAGTGAGTTTCCGCTATCCACTGGGTGAAGTGAGATGCCACGAGCAAGGAAATGCCGTCTTTCAGTGTACCCTCTATGATGCCTGCTTCGATGCTGCGTGGTTGCATAAAAACTGCCGCCTACAGCCAAGTGACAAATATGATATCTCTGTCTCAGAGGATGGCTTGATTCACCGTCTGGTCATCAAAAACACAGAGCTCTCTGACAAAGGGACTTACACTATTGACACAGGAAGCCGCTCTTCAAGTGCCTGGCTTGAGGTTGAATGTGAGTAGCAATCTAGTCTTGATCTCTTACAATGCAATGCAATGCAATGCAATGAAATCTACTGGTATAACCCTTTCCCATCTAACAGCAACTAACAGTACAAAAGAAAGGTGAAAACCTCCATGGTCAACTCCAGCCCTCTTCTGTTTTATGAGCTCTACTATTGAACACTATTGAATACTATTGAAATTGAGCAAACTTCAGAGGACGGCGGAAGACAGGAAGGCCTGGCGTGATCTGGTCCATGGGGTCACGAAGAGTCAGACTCGACTGTGCGACTGAACAACATTGAACACTTAGAAATGCTCAATGGACATGTGCAAGGGCTTGAGAAGGATGTTCACAAAATGTTTGCATGTGTTCCAACACAGGTGTCTGCCGTTCCTTGCCACTTCTCCCTTCTCCAGATGGCAAACATTAGTTTCCTAACAGCCCAATCCTGAGGGCTGCCCTGGTGGAGGCAGCCATCTGCTGGGGCAATAGCAGTACCACTGGACCATTCCCTAAGGGGATACCGCAGAGGTTAGGGACCATGCAAACAGTCCTACAGGGGGACTGCATGAGTTGTGACCATGCCGATGCCCTCAGCAATGGCCCCATCACACCCAGAAGACCTCCCACAAGCACAGCAATGAGACAACAACCAACCACAGGGTGGCAGATGAAGGCACAAGGAGAGGGCACGTGGACAGGCCCTTGCAGGGCCAGGCCCCACCCATACCCCTACCCCATCCCCTTAAGGGCACAGGGCTCTACCAAACAGGCAGCAACACGAAGAGGGGAAGGGGACCCTGCCAGCTTACATGCCATCATCCAAACCTTGCCTGCACCCCTGAGCTTGTTAGGGCTCAGGCCACCATGTGCTGTCCCAAAAACACAGGTACACAGAGGTGGGGTCCCACCACATCAGCCATGTTAGTTAACCCATTCCTAGGGGCAGCAACTGGGGATCCCAGCCACTGGCAGAGTGGGAGGGGTGGCCCAAGGATCAGGGGCCACCAAAAGGCCATGGAGCACAGCCAACATTTCTGTGAGCATGTCTGCCACCTGCCCGTGCCCTCAGTGACAACCACCAGTCACTAAATGTGATCAGCTGCCATACCCTGAACCTCTGCAAGGCCATCCAAGTGTTGCTGAGTCTGGGACATGGCATCTGTCCACTTGTGCCTGAGTCTCCAGCCCCACCAGAGACTACATCAGCTGCCTAATCTGGGTCCGGGCCAGGAGGGAGCAGCGATTCACTGGTTGACCCCATCTGAGGATGTGGCACGCACCTGTTGCAATGGCTCGGCCACATCCAGTTGCTGCGGGGAGTACAAGGTCTAGAGGAGCAACTCAGCCTCCATGGCCCATCTCAAGGTGGTGAGGGTGTGAAGATGCTGCACAACACTGGCAGAGAAGGTCAAGGCAATGGAGTTTGGGGGAAGGTGGCAAAAGGGCATCAGTCAACAGAACCTGGCCATGCAATGTGCAGACCACCAGGCAGACCCTGCTCTCATGGGCACCTCATCTCCATCCTCATCCATCCAGGCAGCCACTACAATGGAGGTGATTGCTCCATCGCTGATCTCCATTTCCTCCTGGCTTGTAGTCATGGGGTGGATGACAGGGAGGTAGCCAGCCAAGCCCCCCGCCTAGGGGTCACTGAGCAGGGCCAATGGGCCTGCAACAGAACCAACATCCTCTTCCCCTGGTGGCTGAAACTGTTTCTGTGATCACCCAGCTGGTGTGGCCTCATCACCCAATAGCCTGGGCCTGGCACAGGCCTTTCTGCCTACAAGAGGAAGGCAGGGATGAGCAGGCAGCAAGGGAGGGCTCACCCTTTGATCCCCAGGAAGAGCATCATGGCTGTGAGGCTGCATATCCCCC